GGATATGAAGTGCGAAACATAGTGAAGACATTGAACCATAATACAACTACAGCCATTATTACAATAATAATAATAATAATAATAGGATATTCATGAGGCAAAACGGATGAAAAAAGATTGGGTAAACACTGATCATGCCACTAAACGTTATGTAACTAATCACAAACGTTCCAGTGTTCTGAATTAAAAGAATGAGTGCTGAAGGCGGGTAGCACTTTGACAGAATAGGAAAACTCATTGTTTGACTGTGTGCCCCGGCATCTCATTTCGTTAGCCAAATCGGGTGGGAGTTGGTGCGCAGTAATCCGATAGAATTAAACAGTCCCAGTTTAGCCTAAAAATACTGCTGGGAAAGTGTAAAATATTGAGGTTAAACGACAAGAGATCATTTCAATAGGCAATGGGTTTTCCTTTGTGTACCGCGACCACTACTCAACACGTTTACTGACACGAACGCTAATGACGGCAGCCGAAAACACAATGGGTGTGAGCATGATTAGAAGATCATCAGAAAGCGTATGTGCTCTGAGTGAGCAACACTAAGGGTGGGTGAAAGAGAATATGACAAGAGAAAGCAAACGCTCCGCTTGACGCAAGGACTTTCATGGGCCATTTTGTCTAGGTAAACTTCAGTATATTTAGTGTGGCTTCCCAATTACCCCATTACGATCAAAATATACCAATAACCGCAGTGTTTCCAATATATATTTAAATGAATGGCCACCTTTTTTCCTATGTTAGTCACCTGTTTTTTTATGGGTTTCAATGCGGTTACCTACCCTTAGAGGAATGCACTATTTCTTGTTATTTATACCATTCTATTTTTCTAAATAAAACCTCGCCATGTTTCATAATTGTAGAAACCAGAGTGAAGAAAATCCCTCTCCTCGGTTCGAGGCGTGACCACTGTTGTTCCCCCTCCCAATTACCCCTTTTTGACCCTGTGTGAACACGTTCTCTTTAGTCACTCCTGATTTGACCTTGATCACAGCTTGATCCCCCGTGTCAGTCATTGTCTATGGTTGCTTGTTGTGTGCCTACCTATCGATCCCACCCGTTTCATTGTCTTGTGCACTAACGTGGCCTTGGCGTGTCATTGCCCCGATCCATAACCGCCCCAGTCCCTCGCTATATGCCCCGTCATTGGCCCTGTGGCCTCATTCGTTGTCTTGCTCTTTGCGAGTGCGTACCTGACTTCGAACACTGGCTGTTCACGTTTGGTGAGCAGAATTTCCCCCCGTGGCAAACAGATCATTGTCGATCTGTTTGAATTAATCTTGGCTGTTCACGTTAAGTGAACAGAATCCCTTGCTCGACCTAACAGGTCTCTACCCATTTGTTTGAACTCACCCTTTTGGCTGTATAGCGACGGATTCGCATTGTTGAGGTACGTTGTTCTTCAACTCGCCTAATGAACTAAACAGTACTGTACACATTGCGGATCAACATCGTCCTGACTTCGGGGTTCGCATTTCGCTACGCGTTGCTCAACGGTCTCATCGACGCTATACAGAACGACCGTGGAATAGTCGAATACACTCGGGCTACGGTTGAGCCAGAACAAGTCGTTTTGGAAATTACAATAATAAAGCACATCAGATATCGTATACTTTATTTAAAAAGACGCAAATGCTGATGCTGAAGCCTAATTTTATAAATGAAATGATAATGTAAGATTGACACGCCCTAAACTCCCTAAAGCCAGGGGAAATGATTTAGGGGAAAACATCGGTCTCCACGCAAAGCTGTTGATAATGTTATCCTCATATATGGTGATGATTTCATTCAATTCTCTTTTGTGTACACTTATTCCGCTGTTGTGTTGTGGAAGACTGAGGAAGGCGAACGTTTCACACCATGAATTTGGGAAATATCAAGAGCATGGGTGGGATTCGAACTCATGCACGGACGCCATCTACAGTGTTTATTAGGCGCACACTTTACCTGCTGAGCTACTAGAGCACACCCACAGTACTGATTTTTTAAAATCTGGATCTGCTACGCAACTCACAAAGGCTTGTGAAATCAACCGGGTAGTATGTAACCTGATTACCCCGACATGTTTTCCTGATAATCCTCCCGAATTAACCGAATAATCTATTCAGGTAATGATTATTTTTCAACTTATGTCGTTTCGCACATTTAAGTATCATGCTTGAATTATGGAAGTTCGAAAGCTTTTATGTGCCTCATAGCTCGACTGGTAGAATGTCATTGTACAAAACCTAAGGAGGTGTCCATGAATGGAATCGAAGACCACCGAGTCCCATGTACTTTTCACAACCCAAATATGTTACGTAAATTTGACAAACGAAACAATTTCACTAGCAGGGAAGTTTTGAAGGTGTTCTAATTCAAAAAATTTGTATGAAAATGTATGTATTGTGTTTTGAGCTCTGGAAAATCAAAGAATATTTAAAAATCTTGCACTTGTCATCTTATTTTTCATTTTCATTGTACTTTTAAGTTCAAACGGTTTGTGTTTCCATTAGCTCTTCAACCCGCTTGCACTGTGTTTTTTCTATCCTACTACTAAAAGAGAGTTTCTTGACTATCGCCCTGGATCAAGCTTCCCTAATTTTCTATCTTTAATTTACGTTTGTAGTCTGTTTCTCTGTAGACAAAGCTCTCCAAGCTAAAATCAGGGAGGGAGCTTTTATTATATTTAGGGTCTCAGAGAAATTTCCCTCTTCAGTGAGGACTAATCCCAGGTTTTGCAGTCTCTCCTCCTAGGTCTTTCTCAATTGAATTTTAACCACACCTGTTGCTGCAATCTCATTTATATCTACGTAGGCGGTATCCTTCCGAAGAAAGGTTACTGTGCCAGATTGATTTCCAGTGATTGAGTGGCTCGCAAAGAAGCTTCTTCAAATGCAAACAGAATAATGGCAGATTCTTTAACTTAAGCGTACCCGAAAATTGCCATAACTCATCTAATATTCCATAATTCAAATTCCGTGGTAAATAAATCTCCAAGGAACAGTCTATCAAACAGCAAAAGTGAAGTGTTTATAGAGGATCTCTAGCGAAGCAATTTGAGAATCGTCCAAAGACAACATTTTTAAGGCAAATGTTGTGTCCAAACACTAGTTGGTTCACACAAAAGGAATCTGTGCATAAACCCGGTCACTCAAATGGTTGAGGACATAGTATAAATACGGCTGGCAAGCATACCAGATTTATTGTGTTTAGGTGAACTTTGAAAGGCTAGAGGGCATCGGAATTCGGCGATAGTAACTAGCTTTTGTGGTAAAATGTGGTGAGTTCTCCGTCATTCCAAACTGTTTAAAACATTGGCACTGTATCCAGTTTTATTTAAGGCTCTTTGATTGTCAATGGCCATCGAACTGACCTGAAGAAGTTCCTTCATTCTTTAAATTGTCTTTTTCCTCAATCCATCTAAGGATGTCCGAATATTGAAGTTAAATACAACATAGAGCATCCCCCAGCTGTATGTTGGTGAAGCGCTTAGTGCAAGCAATTAGGTTTAGTTGCTTGCACTGAAAAGAATAACGGGTTAAGTTAATCCAAGTTATGTCCACAAATCGTTGGTCTGGCGTCCATTATGCCCTTTCACGCGTTGATGACGTCATTTCGTTGCAAAATGTAGATTGATTCTGGAAAATGATCTATCGTAAAAATTCAGCAATTAACCAATTGCCCATTCAGTTTTTCAATATACAGACAAAATCAACCACTTAAGACATATTATGTAACTTTTAACTAACCATACGTGTTCACGCACCGTCCTCCGGCCATCCAATCAAACATACACTATGTAAGTAATACACTCATTGTTCACTCCCAAAAGCGTTCATCAATATTCCTTATCCATCTCTGTTATTCTATGATAAGTTCACTCCCCATCAAGTTTGCTTTAACGCTATTCTCTTTCTTGTCAACATCTGCATGGAAAGTAAAACTTCAGTAAAATAGGCAAGAATAGGGAACGATCAAATGGTGAAAGTGAAAAGATTCTCGAGCGTCACAGTGCGTGAAACTTGATCATATCACCTGATAGGCACGTCCAGGAATTTGTTACATGGATCAAAACCTAATTTCACTTGGTGCGATATCTATAAGTGATAAATTTTCACCTGTATCCCGTTTTACAGAGAGTTTGTCAGACAAGTTTATTTCATTTGACACGACATTACCTCACAGACAACCAATCTTTCTTTCTGCTGTACGTATGTGCAGCAGCCGCTTGATATTCCAAGAGTAGAACAAGCGTTTACTAAGACACGAACAAATTATAATACCTGATACAGCATAAACACTGCATTTTGCGATTTTGCACTTCTCAAAACGAACAGATTGGTTTAACTAGCAATAATGGTTTATTTTAAACATGGGGAAAAGCATTTTACCCAAAGGCTAATTTCAAAACCAAAAGACAAAACTTGATGATAAATGGTCATTTCTTTATCATTTATCTACATTGCGAATTCGGTGATTTTGCTAGGCATAAATTCACATGAAGTATCCAAAAGACGATATTCTAGGTTCTGTCCCCATAACAATCAAAATGATTCATTTTAATTCTTTTGATAAACTAATAAACCGGTAATTAAATATCTTAGACGGCGTCACGGGAAATGGAAAGTAAAATTACGGCGCATTTGAATGAGAAATCATCCCTCGAGTGTTCCCGTTTCATAATTCAAGATACCATGTCAAATCCTGTCTCTATGAGGTGGGTATTTTCGTCGTATGGAATATAATATAAGTCAATGAAATGAAAATCACTAAACGTTGCGCTACATTACAAGGATTCAAATGTATGCATTTGATTTCTTTCCCGTACTTCATAAAATGAGTTTAGATTTTGCTGACTGAGCGGGATACTTTCGAATCTTGTTGTATTTTAAATTATTTTCGTAGATACACGTTCTTATAATTCTTTCTACGATGTTTATTTATGTTCTGTAGTTTCCGTAAAACCATCTGGATAAAAAAAACTTGTTTGGTACCGACGAGTGCTCGGGCAACGTTGGGCAATGACCACGTTCCAAGCTTTTTGCCATGTCTGTATTGTCGGATCGTCACATGATTGGTCGAAAAATTTTCCGAATTTTGATTGGTTTTTGCCTATGCCTATTGAAATTCAGCGTGCACCACCGGTGTTTCCCTCAGTTCAAATCAAACGGGATGGGACCAAAGAAACTAATACGCTGTTTACTGCAATGCTCGGTTTGTCTCGGCCGAGTGAACGTAGATTCCCGGAATTGGAATTTTACGACCAGAGTGTAAATGTCCATATATACGCTCACTAGTGCTCCTTGCAACTGTAATACCCTGATAACATTGCAGCATGATTTTTCAACAAGAACTGAATGCTCAAGCTTTCTTCACCCCATCTGTGCTCAATCCAAGCACCATATACAGTGTCAAAACCACACCTATGACAAGAGAAGAACGCATTCTACGGAGACGACAAGAGAAACGACGAAGGCAGATTCAGGAGATCAAGGCAGGATGCAAACGGTTCATGGCGATGCTTTTCTCTCACATTGGGTTGTCCGGTCTTGTGGTTGCCTATACCATTATTGGTGCTTTGTTGTTCGGGAAAATTGAGCAAGGTTTCGAACGAGACATTAAAAATCAAGCCAGAATCTATCGTGAAAATTCCACTTTGAGCATAATACGATTTATTTTTGAAAACTTCTATGATGCGGTTGGAAACAGTCAGCTGGACTGCAATCAGACAGTGGACTTGATTCACGTGATACTCTGGTATGTGGAAAAGGCACAGAATGAACTACAACCAGCCCCGGATCTGTTTGACAATCGCCAATTTGTGCTCCAAAATGACACTGATTTCTCCAATTTCACCCTAGACACTTGGCTCAATCAGACATCGGATTCCGCGGAAAACGTGACATTCAACAGCACCACCACTCCCTTGCCTTTGACTACCACAACTTCCTTAAAAATGATTGATGTTAATCATCAGATTTGGGTGAAGAACTTACAGCGTGATATAGATGATAAATTGTTGGATTTCATTCGAAAAATTGTGGAGTTTATAGAGGATGACGGTTGGAATGGAAATGACTCGTTGGAGGATCTGAAATGGTCCTATGCCGGTGCCGTATTGTACGCCATCACCGTTATTACTACCATAGGTGAGTTCCAATTCTCCATCGTTTATGCTCAATAAGGCTCTGATGGAACGTGTTAAGTAATTAAAAAGGAAAATGTGAATGATTGTTAAACACGTTCCGTTAATTCTGCTAGCTTTATTCTGAAGAAAATATTCCTTACTAGTTTGTTCTAATCTATTGATTAATCTCATACTTACTGAGTGGTAAACGGAGTAAACAGAGTCCAAATATTTCGTTTAATTCCTCCAAAACATTAGAATGCTTATATTGGTTGATCGCTAAAGCAAAGGAAATCATACAAGAAAATAGGTCTTTCTCTGTAGAACGAATCAGGCTCACCTGTTTGTGATTTTGAAATCTTTAGATGCATCCCTATTGAAAAACAATCAGCCACGCACAGATATAAAGATGCCAGTTCTCTTCGAAAAACCTTTTTTCGATTTTTCTCACACCGGGTTAACTAAGGTTTCTGTAATCCATTATCATTCATGGGTATATATTAACAAGAACTTGGAATATCTTATCAGCGGCATGTGGCAATCAATAAAAAGTGTTTGTCAATTTTACCTTATGAAAACCAAACAGAAACTAAGTGGAAATCGGCATGATCATTATTTTTTCAAGCTACACAATTCCCGTGAACTCGTGTCCATTTCCATTCAGGGACGAAGCAAGTAACCTATACACAGGTTTTTGAAAAAAACAAGTTATAACCTTTGCAATTCATCCCAGCGAATGATTTCCATCGAAAAGCTTTTGTTATGCTTTTGTTAACAAAGATCTAAACCAAACAATCGGTATTTGAATAAAAAGCTTACTGTCAAACAGTACAAGAGAATAATTTCTTGTTGATTTTTAAGAGAGAAATCAAGTACTCATAGAAGAAAGCTATATAAATATAGCCTCGTATGTTTTCGCTCAGTAAATAAAATTCCCTACTTAGCATACAGGGCGGTTCCCTGAACCTTTTGAATAGTTCTACGTGTGATCATCATTATGAGTTAAATGTGAAATTCTGCGTACATGAAGTGGAATGTTCCCTATACGCGACAACTTAGCTTATATCAGGCGAAACGATAATGGATGGATTCGTAGCTACCTCTGATTATGACGTCCCATTACAATGTAAACAACCATGTGTTTGGCATATTCATGTCAACTTTCAGGCCCGTTTGTCCACTGTATGCCTTGTATACATCCTACGAGACCATGGCTTTAACAAGAAAGAACAAAACAAGAGCCAATTTGGGACTGCCCCAAGAATACGTTCTATTCAGTTTTTAATTTTGATAGAGATTGAATAATTCATATCAATTCCTAGCGCTTCCGAACAATAAAACAAGCACTCCGGAGAATAAATTACAATGTTCGCTTGAATTTGAAAAGCTCCCGAGAGGGCTCACAATTGACATATGGCACGTTGCGCAGCCACAAAACTGTGACGGTTCTTTTATCATGCACGTACAAGCAAGTGACCAAAAAAATCATCCCGAGGACAACAAATTCACTTCCTTGATAGCAAACAGTCTGCACATTTTCACGCAAATGATTACCAGAAAAAGTAATCGCGAATACCTAAACAGTCATTTCATCCTCAATTCTATTTCATGGGCATTTAGATATGAGAAGCAGGAGTGCAATTGATGAAGCATCTACCTTTGCACATAAGACGGTGACGTTATATGGGTGTAATTTGTTACATAACATATCTACTTGATTCACTGAAATGTTACATCAAATAGAACACATTGCTGATTGTTTCAAAAACAACTGTCGTCAGTTTATCTCTAATCCTGTATTCACCCAACACATGTGCAGCGTATTTCCAACTCGCAATGAATTAAATGTCTGTTTTGTGCTCTCGCGAAATGATTCGGTTCTACAAAAATCCAGGCTCATTTGGTGTACTATTCCTCTTGAGACGCTGGAAGCTGATGGATTAAATTGCAGTATGTAAGCTATAGACATGCCAGGTATACCGTCGTGCATTAATCCTGTGTGTTTCATTTCAAAGAATGCTCCTTGAAGAAAAATGCATAGCAGCGCTCCCTCCATTACGAAGAACCAAGGAACGCGGATGTTTCGATAAGAACAATGACGTACTGCAATGAAGCATTTGTGCAAAAAAGACCAATGGTTATCTTTGACTCCGATTGACCTAGAGCAAGCGAGTGCCAATGAATGTTTTCAAAATAAAAGGCAATTCAAAATACGAAATTCACTTAATTATATACAGTATTAAAATTGGGCATCCTCGGAATATCTCAGTAACTATCAGAATAAAATACTTTTATTTGATATAAAATATTCACTGAGAAATAACACCGCGGTAAACATTGCTGTTTTGTATAACTCTCAACTTTCAATACGCAACCAGACGTTTGGGAACTGACTTCCTAATAAAATCCCATTATTACTAGCAGCAATTTTTGTTGAAAATAAACACAAATATTGGGCTGTGTCCTTTCTTTCGACAGCATGCTATTTACTTCACATATAATAGTGGGTTCATGATTGTAGATTTCTTGCGTTCACAAATGATATTCGATATTATTTGATTGTTTTAAGACACAAATCTGAATGCAACCGCATTAATTAGAGTGTTTTATGGATAATTTTTCTTTCAATTTTGAACACTCAACTTAACACTTATTGGTTTTGGGTGCTTAGTTCCCAAATTGTTGTTCATTACTGTAAAATTTATTGTCAAGACAAACAAAAGCACCTTCCATGAACTCATTCCAACAACTTCAACAGAACCACCCACATAATTGCATTATCTCTTAAGTTTACTACAATCACTTCAAACCATTTTCAGCTTAACATTTGACGAAAAACACAGACCAAGAGACCAATCCTGATCTTGGCTTCTAGTAACTATTAAGGCTCAGGTACCACCTACACACAATATACCCTGGGCATGGCGCCTCAAACCACATAGTCAAATTTAACCTCAATCATATATGCCTCTAAAAACGGTGGCATCTTAGAGATATTCGCAATTTGTCTATTCTCTTCTATTGGTTAGCAACTATGAAAGTCGTTAACGTATTCCACGGCTCTACTAAAATAGCAAATGAGACCACACAAGAGCAGCATGGCTTCAAAACATCATATTTTCCGAAAATGGTTACCTACATTGCATTAAGTTAACCGACTGCAAAGACCTAATTATTTGTTAAACTGTTGGCAATTGGCCAGTCAATAAATGCTGACGGGTGCCAGTGTGTGGCCTACTGGAAAGCGCACTGCATCCAACGCTTTTGTTCTCTGATCCGGAATGTGGCTTTTTTGTTAAGTGTACCATGCAGAATGTTCATCCGATTTCAGTAACTTTTGTGGAATCCCGTTTTCTTTAACTCAAACGTTTGCATGTCTTTGATTCTAAGGAAAATATAGACAGAACAGAATAGTTTTTTCATCCATTTGGATGGTGCAACTGGAAGTTCAGTTAATATTGTAAACTTTTCTGAGTTACTAAACATTCACAACAGTTTTGGCTTACAAAACCGTAGTTATTCTGGTTAATAACAATGAAACGGTATAATGGATTGTTCTCATGATATGACTGATTCTATAAAGCCCTTATAAAGCCCTAATATAATCCTATCTATGCACAAGTAATAATTGGGAACGCGGAGAAATTTTATTTTGTTATATCCCATCAAATAGTTTTTACACTTTTTACATAAATGGGTTTAGTCATCAGAATTCGTGAAACAATGCCCATCAGAAGCTATTGTCGACGTATTTTCAACTTAGCACACTTCGATGAACAGTTGAGAGATTATTGGTTCGTCTGTACTAACCATTTATTCCAAGTACATTTTGATGCATGTATGCATCCTCATTGAGCATACACTAAGCATGAATAAACCGTTCCTCAAAATCAAACATTGGCAAACTGGAACAAATCAGAAGTGCAACATCTGGTTGACAATAGACACATGAAAGACAGAAAGTTTTTGAAAGGTTTAGCACAACATAAGAGACGCACCGGTGAGGTAGGTGAGCGTATCTTGATAATGGAGGAATCTATCTCGTTCAGGATGACCAAGTCAGTGTTGCACAAATAAGCGCTGTCATTAACACGATCATAAAAACGTTTTTCCATCGAAATAACTCTCCTATATTTCACCGCTCTCGGATACCGACTTGCAAGCCGCTTTTATTCATTCTCGACTAAAACACTCCTTATCTGGCGTAATTCACAAATTAGTTGATCTGTTTGTATCTAGCTTTGTTTAGTGATCACGTGGCTTACAGCCAATCAAGCGTTCAACACAAACACATTCACACATTCCTCAACACAAACCTAATTCATTTATTATTTTAGCGAACAATAAAACTGTTTTGGAGGTTGAAGTGATATACCCGAAAGAAAATGTTTAGCTACTTTTGACTAAATTTACTTTATGGTGGGAGCAGAAATTCCCGGTTTTTCGGTTCGAATAACTCAGACTTCCTGGTGGTGGTGGTGATGATGGTGGTACGGTTGTGTTCATTGTCTGACCAAGAGCTCGGAACAGCATGCATGAGACCACTGCACCATATTGACGGGGTTTTGACTCATGTACTGCTAGAAAGCTTCATTTCAGCAGATCAGCTTGTTAAAACTTAACTGCGATACATATATTTTATGCTTCTTCGCAAAACATATCACTATTTCAAGTCAAGTCAAGAAACCACTTTAATTTAGTTCATGAGGAATGAATATTCAGCTGCTACATATTTACTCTTTGGTAGTAAATATAGGAGGGTTAAGAAAAAACGGAATGAAACACTGCAAACATCAAAGAATAAACAAATTCTGTACACTTTAAGCTTGGGCCTTTCAATGGCAAGGTTAGAGTATGTAGGAAACCGTGCATGGCACGGTATTACAAAGGAAATTCATATTGTGATGCGTGCTGCTATATGCTTGTAGGTACTGTGAATGATGGCTATAGAGATATATCTGCCGCGACAAGACAGTGGTCTGATATAATGCTGCTAGAAAATACCGAGCGAGTACTAAAGTGTAGTGAAATTTAAAACTGCACTATACATTTGCGAGTCATGCCACTATATAAACACA